GGATATAGCACATTGAAAATGCTGACCAACCGCATATAAAAAAATAAATGTTGAGTTCTATGTTACAGATCTTAAAGAGAATAAAACTGCCATGATTGCCCTGCCTTCCTTTGAATTTACTGTGTGACTACACCTACAATGCTATGTACCACTCTGGTTATTGCATCTGTAAAGAGATGGTGCAGAAAACAGCAACCAAAAGGATCGGTAGGCTGGAGCAACCCCTTGCAAACAAAAATTGTAATGTTTGAGGCTGTGGAGAAACATGTAAGTTATGTAAGAGCAGAAGTTTGACTCGGTTATTTGGAAGAGAAGTGGTTTCTGCTTCGGGGTGGGTGTCCCTATGATAGTTCAGCACCAACTTCTGCAGAGTGGAATCTTTGAATTGGAAGGGACCCTGAGGATCATCTAGGAACATCAACTGTAGAAATATGCATTTGTCCCATAAAGGGATCAAACCTGCAACCTTGGCATTATCAGCACCACACCCTAACCATCTGAGCTATTCAACAGAGTATACTATTACTATTAGATTGATCAATCTATTATATTCATTAGTTGCTTTCCTTACAAAAGTGACCCAAAGCAACTTATATTAAAACATAATATGTGTCTGTTGACATAAAAACCCAGCTTTTTCTCCACAGAAATAGAGATTTCTTAAAAGAGGGAGAAAATGTCACATAGGTGTGGTCAGCAGTGTCATTATTTGTTGAGACAAAGTTTTATGAAGATGGTATGATAGAAGGTCATGTTGTTCTTTTCCGTATAAAGATACATCACAAGGTTTAACGGCTAAATGAACATGACTACAAGGAACTAAGTAAAAAACCAACATTTCAATAAACCCAGTACTTCCACAGTGAAAGGAAAAAAGAGGGCAGTTAAATTTTAACTCATGGGAAAGAAAAAGAAATTGTAGGAAATGAACATGGGAAAGCAGAAGTTAAAAACCATCAAGGTGAACTGGAACTAGAACAGGGTTTTGATTTGGGTTGGGGTTTTTTAAGTACCAACAAAAGTGTTTAAAAGATCTTGGTTCATGTTATCCCAGACAAGATGCTGCTGATTCAGAAATATAAAGTTCTTTTTTAAAAAGCTATTTTTATTAAAGCTTGAAAAACAAAGAGAGAGAAAACAATATAGAAATATCAAGTTCTGAAGGAACCAGTCATTTCTGGGAGGAAAGGTTACTTATTATCAAACCAAAATAACCCACCCAGAAGTGTCATATACTTTAGAGGAAGGATAATCTGTTAAAGGGAATAATAACAAAAAAAAATGAATGCTCCTCTAAACTTGTTGACGTTTATAGGACATCAATCTATCGAATAGAGGCATATATCTAGATATATTTATATAGATGTTCTTCCCCAAACTCACTAGGAAGCAGAAAGAGTTTATACTGGCCCTTGCGAGGTATGCAACTAGATATCCAGAAGCAGTTGCTTTAGTTTTCACAGATATATTGGCAAAAGTCTTGTTAAACAACATTTTTCATATTAGAAGCAATTGTATGCGTACTTAACCAATTAAGACTGTGCATATGGGGCCATAAGCTTCTTTCTCTCACTGTTCATAGTGTATTAAAGTGGTTTTATATGCAACTGAGAACTGTCTTCAACATATGCCAGTGCTTTTCTTCTAGAAAAAAAGGTGCCGGTACTGTGCACTCAGAGAAAAAGCACGGAACATTTCTATCAAGTACCTTCTGTCTACCTGAAACATCTGCATGGGATACATTTCAAGGAGCCATTCTGATTGGATACATTTCAAGGAGCCATTCTGATTGGATACATTTCAAGGAGCCATTCTGATTTATCAGAATCTAAATGTAAGCAAAAGACTGAGCCAGTCAATTATAAAATGAAGCCTGGAAACAGGCTAGTGAGTCACATAGTCTCCTCCACCTGATCCCATTGTAATTTGACTGCAAACAGATACAGTATATTGTTGTGAGTGATGCTCTGCTTCAGCATAGGATTTATAGGTTACCTGGAGCTGTCCAGCCACATGTTCCTTTGCACATTCTGCTATGTAACCTAGCTGCCCAACTAACACAGGATCAGGAAAATCTATACTTGCCTTTGGTGGTTCCATTCTATGCTAGATCTGAAATGTACAGGGTTTAGGCCATTTTGATGTTTACTGTTGAGTCATACAAAGAAATGTGTACTTGTTTGTATGTATCTAGGTTGCCTCTGGCTGTATTTTGCAAACCAGATTGTGCCCACGTTGGCTTTGCATGGTTCAGCTGCTGGTTGTTCAGCTGACCTTCTTCAGAGGAGCTGGAAGAACAGAGAAAGCTGAAAAGCAGAAGTAAATGCCCTCAGCTTAGGTTCTTTTCCTCAAAGCCTTGAATACTCACTTATATAAGTGAAGTTAGTTTTGACTTTTATTGGTCTGAAGTGTTAAAAAAAAAAAAATCAATAGATTGCAATAGTATGAGTGTGCACAATTTCCCTTCTAGTCTGGTCTCCTTTGTTCAGCAAAGTATCCAGAAAGGGACTTTAAAAACTGAAACATCACACCCCCATGATAAGCACTCTAAAAGCTGATACACTTCAGCAGTGGCGTAGCGTGGGGGGTGCAGGGGGGGCTGGCCGCACCGGGCGCAACATCTGGGGGGGCGCTCGCACTCGCAGCTCTCTTTAACTAATCTAGTGGAAGAGACTCGAGTGCTAAAATCCATGGGTTAGGGGGTGCAAATTACTTGCCTTGCCCCGGGTGCTGACAACCCACGCTACGCCACTGCACTTCAGGGTTGTTGAGGTTTATGATAGAGACATCTGCACAGCCCTGGACATTGTTCTCAATTGTTTCAGTTTGTTCAGCATAGCAAGTTAATGTATTCCCATTTACCTTGTATAGATCACTGTGGGAGCATCGGTACATACAACAGCATGAACAATTGCAGGTCTGAGTCCATAGTACTCCTGCTTAATGTAAGTTAAACATGGAACAAGTGATTCTGGAGTTGCAGATTTGGAGTGGTTTTCAGACCTAACTGCAAAGCATTGTATATAAGTGTGTACTATCTGAAGAAGTGTGCACGCACATGAAAGCTTATACCCAGAACAAACTTAGTTGGTCTCTAAGGTGCTACTGGAAAAACATTTTTATTTATTTCCATTGTATATAAGTACACCTAATAATTTTATAGATGGCAACCATTTTGATTTTTTAAAAAGTTATTAAAGTGATTTACACATGCTTCTAAATAGAAAATAAACCTGTTATCTGTTGGCTTCTTCCATCAGCACCACAACCATAGTGGCACTTTTGGAATGACATGATGCTGCCAGGGAGCTATTGAAAGCTTGCAAGGACATTATCATGGAGGCTACTTAAAAAAAAAAATTAATAGGTGAATGGATACTGTAGTCTGCTTTTCGCCAAACATACCTGACCTATACATAATCATGCATGTCATTTATTACTGAATTCGCAAAGGGGTATTAATTTGTTCCTGCGAACTGTACATACTACAGCTGTAAAGAGATAAATAACTTTTAGCCACGCTCTTTGACTTCCTGTCAGAGCAGCACCACTGGAGGACACAATATTCTACCCACCATTATATTACAGTCGGTGAGGAGAGGGTGAATGGCTTTTCCTCACAGCAATGGGAATTAGGACTTGGGTGAGGTATGTACCTTAACTGTGCAAACATCAAGGGAACTTAAGCAGCAATAATATTCTACTGTTCAGAACACAGACCTGGTAAAGGGTTTTGCAGGAGCGAGCGGAAGAAGTGTGCTAGAGGCAAACAGCATATGATCAAAAAAAGGTCGTTCAGTGCACCCATACATGAGTCAGACTCTTCACTGCTACAGCTATGGTTTACTGTGACTGTAGCAGACAATAATTTCCACGGTAGTTCTTGCACCTATTCAACCTGCCATGACACATGAATTACGAGGTTCTGCCCTCCCCTACTTCCTCCTCTGACTTCTGAGCCACACTAGAAGCAGAATCATAGAATTGTAGAGTTGGAAGGTACCATGAGGGTCATCTAGCCCAACCCGCCTGCACTTCAGGAATCTTTCATGGGTTTGGAACGCACGACCCTGAGATTAAGACTCCCCTGCTCTTAACCCTAAACTTTCTTTTTCATTACTGCTGCTATTGTGAATTGACACGGTTGCAAACTGATCGCTTTGTTCCTTGAAAATAACAATAGAAACACATACATCGGTTGGATAGCTCACTTGGTTAGAGCACGGTGCTGATAACGCCAAGGTTGCGGGTTCGATTCCATATAGGGCAGCTGCACATTCCTGCATTGCAGGTAGTTGGACTATCAGCCTTTCTCGACCTGTGGGTCCCCAGATGTTGTTGAACTACAACTCCCATCACGCCTAGTGAGCAAGGCCAGAGCTCAGGGATGATGGGAGTTGTAGTCCAACAACATCTGGGGATCCACAGGTTGAGAACCGCTGGATGACGCTCAGGGTCCCTTCCAATTCTACAATTCTACATTTAGAAACAAAAACAAAAACCAACAACTGTGCAAGTGTCAGTCCGGCCTCACCAGGGCTCAGCCTCACCAGGGTCTTAATTGCTGCTCATACTACCAACCCGCCTCTCAACTACAGTGGTACCTCAGGTTAAGTACTTAATTCGTTCCGGAGGTCCGTTCTTAACCTGAAACTGTTCTTAACCTGAACCACCACTTTAGCTAATGGGGCCTCCCGCTGCTGCTGCGCCGCTGGAGCACGATTTCTGTTCTCATCCTGAAGCAAAGTTCTTAACCTGAGGTAATATTTCTGGGTTAGCGGAGTGTGTAACCTGAAACATATGTAACCTGAAGCGTATGTAACCTGAGGTACCACTGTACTCCCATTCCTGCCTGAGGCAGACGACCCCAGAGAGCTAAGTGAATTCGGGGACTGAGAGCCGGGGGCCTCGCTTTTTCGCGGGCTGCCGCTCGGCTTTACCGCGCCTTTCCCTTTGCGCCCCGCCCAACCGCGGTCCATGTGAGCACGCGCGCGGCGCCAGCCGGCTGTCTCCGCTGAGGGGAGCAACGGGCCCTTGGCTCAGCCACGGCAGCAGGAGCCCTGCTGGCGGCATTGCGCTCGAGAGCGGCGCTCGCGGCGAGAGATTGGGGCGCGCTCCGCCCCCGGCGCGTGTCACGGATTAGGCGAACCGAGCGGTGGGCGGCGGCGGCGGCAGCAGCAGCGGCGGCGGCTGGGCTCGGCCCCGCTCATTGTTGGGCCATTGTGGCGGCGGCGACCGGCAGCTGCCGCCACTTCTCTCAAACCAAAGCCCTCAGGCGAGGCGGACTTGACGCAACTCTCCGGGCAGCCATGGCTTTATGGTAAGCTGGCGCGCTTTCTCCTCTTCGAAGGAGAGGCATCGAAACGGGGATGGCTTTGCTGCAGAGAGATGGAGGACGGCGACGAGGGGCTGCGGGAAGGCAGCCGGAGGGGGGGGCACGGCGTTCGCCAGGCGCATCTGGCCGACCCCTCCCGGAGGCGCAGGGCTGGGCTGCAGGCACCTTGCGCTCCCATTCCGAAAGGGCCCGCTCTGACGCGTTGACAAGGCGCCGACCCTCCGCCAGACAAACATGTGTGCCTCGAGGGGCGGGGGAAATCTCGAAGCCCTTGTCTTCCTAGTTCCGCCTCTTGCTGCCACTGCCGGCGAGGAATCTCGAGCTTAGGGAATCGGGAAGCCTCTGCCTGAGGCTGATCTGACAGATCCCTTTCCCTGGCCATTATTATATACCGCGTTTCCCCTAGAGCATCGCCGCTCGGGAACATGCTGTGCTGAAAAGGTGCTCTTTGGTTGTATGATCGGGGCTGGAGTTGATCTGGACAACGGGGCGGGCGGCAGTTCCCGCCCCCTTTGAAATGTGGCCGAAATGAAGCAGCTTCAGTCGTATCCAGATGCCATTTGTTTTTAAAGGGAAACTTGGAATGGAGTGCACATTTCAGAAACAACATTATAGATCTCTCTTCCTCCCTCCCCCCACTCTTCTCTTTTTATAAGCAGACTCCACAAATCCCTTAACAGGCCCACTGGGATTTGCAAATCCACATAAGGATTTGCTACCCCATCCCCGCCTCCAAGCACCCCCCTTTCCTCTTAAGTGGCTTTTGCCCTAGGGATTTTATTGCATCTGTACCTCAGACTCATTCTTCACTTCAGAGCTGCAGTTTTCTCTTTGCCTGCCCTCAGCACTTTCGCAGCTATGTTATTGATTCCCCAAGGACTTTCAGGTTGCATCAAGATGGCCTTGAATGCAATACAAATACTGAGAAGCAATCAAGACAATAAGGTGGAACTGAGAAGATGCTCAGGGAGAATTTTCACCCTCTCTCTATCATAAACAGCTTTCCTTCTTTCCTTTCCCCTTTTTATTGTGAGTACAGTATATGTCCTTTATAATTTACCACGCCATTATATATATATGAGTTACTAATGTTAGGATTAACCCAAGATTCTGTTCCTAATTGGATTCAACTGTAAATTGAACAGCAATTAGCACTCTACTAGGTTTTCGGCCTGGTAATTGCTCTTGTTCTAACAGGCACTTTCTCCACGGACATGTTGAAATATTGCCCGTAAATAGCATTGCCAGAATATGAAAAAAAAATGTCTTAAGAAAGTGAGGAAGGAGCAACAACTGTGTGAAATTGCGCTGTCTAGAACCTTGTATTGCCTTTCAATAGATAAAAGCTTGGCATAACCGTAACCTAGCTTGCTGTAATATATTTTAGTAGGCCAACTAAATATAAAATGGAGTGTATTTTAAAAATATTGCATAATGATGTCACATTTCTGGACTGGATCTCCAGACAAAGGATAATTCATAAGATTAGCAATTAATAGGACTGATACGACTGTAAGAATAGATTAGGTCTTGAGAAATTCAGAAATCCAAGTTGAAAAGTGCTGTTAAATTCTAAATTGCTAAGAATGTGGCTAGACAGCCACAGTTAAAGATGTCATAAACTGGTATTCTAGTGATAGAAGCTTTTTTTTCCTTTTTCTTTTTTTAAGAAAACATATACTGTATCTGAATTTGGAGTTTTGTTGTTGGGGCTGTTGGTGTTTGGACTATATAAAGCTGAAAGGTTTGCCAATATTTGCTTATTTTTAGCAGCTATGCTAATGTACAGACCAATCAGTCTTTTAAGCATCATCAGCAAACTTTATGCAACTCACTTACGTGAAAAGTTTGCGGACTGGCTGGAACAGGAGCACATCCTAAAGGAAGCCCAGGCTGGTTTCAGGGCACATAGATCAACTCTAGACCAAGGATTGGTATTGCAACATCTAGTGGAGAAATACACCTCAAAGAAAGGAGGCTCTCTCTATGTAGCCTTTATAGATTTCAAATCAGCCTTCGACTCGATACCCCGGCACAGACTTTGGGAAAAACTAAATGTCACAAACATCGATAGACGTCTTTTGCTTCTTATCCGTAGACTACATGAAAATACTCGGATCCGTGTTAGATGTGACCGTTATGGGAACCTATCAAAGGAAATCCAAAGTTCCCATGGTGTCAAGCAAGGCTGTGTTCTTGCCCCTATTCTTTTTAACTTCTATATAAACTCCTTAGTCGGAAAGATGGAGGAAGCAAGTACTCATTCCCCAAATCTAAATAATACACCAATCCCGGTCCTTTTGTACGCAGATGATGCGGCACTTATTTCCTTCTCTTGTGTGGGTCTAAGAAAACTTTTACGAGCTCTTACAGAGTATTGCGAAGCTGAACACCTAATAATAAATTACACTAAATCAAAAATTATGGTGTTCTCCAAGAGAAAACTCCGACATAAATGGAAAATTAATAACCAACCTATTGAGCAAGTAACATCTTTTAGATATCTTGGAATAATTTTTGATGAGAAGGGATCTTGGTGCCATCAGATAAAGAATTCCATTGTAAATGCGCAAAGATCTTCCAGAGCTATCATAAGATTCTTTTACAGAAAAGGAGGTCAATATGTTCCTGCTGCCTCCCAGGTCTTTGTTGCAAAAATACTTCCACAATTGATGTATGGCACCCAGATATTTAATTGTCAAAAACTCAAGTCCCTGGAATCTGTACAAACTAAATTTTATCGTTCCCTACTAGGGTTACCTACCTGTGTCTCTAACACTGCCATTAGGCTGGAGGTAGGCCAACTCCCTATTAATGCCAGGATATGGATCCTGAAGATTCACTTCTGGCTAAAACTCATATTTTTCCCAGTGGGAGTGGCTCCATTGACTCTACTAGACCCGTTCCAGTCTAAATGGAGATTGTCGCTTTATGAAAAATTGAGGGGCCTGGGGCTTTCCCCACAAGAACTCATAGCCTCAGGCTTTGAAAAGGCTAAAATGATGGTGAGCCAGCGAATAGGAGATGTAGAGCTTCAGGACCATATGAGCAAGATAGATAAATATCCAGCTATCCAAGATTATGAAAAAGGGTTTAATCTAACCCCATATTTGCTGGACCTACAAATCGCAAAATATAGGCGGGCGTTTACCCTTACCAGATTTGATGTATTGCCATCTGCCTTACTAAAGGGCAGATACGAGGGCACACCCTATGCTGAACGAGTTTGCCCATGTGGTCTGAAGGAGGTGGAAACGGCTTCACATGTGCTGTTACACTGCGACCTTTACGGGGATATCAGGTTACTGTTTATCTCCCCTATCGTTCAGAAATTTCCAGGTCGATCTGAATCTCAGCGGCTGAAAATCCTACTAGGAGATAAAAACCCAGAAGTAACACTGAAAGTGGCCAAGTTTTCTGCGGCCGCGATCAAGCGGAGGGCATTAGCTGTAAAAAAGTAAAAGATCTGACCCCTGGATAAGCCCCCCCCTTTTTTAAGCCCATACATATACTGTAGTGCATATATGAGTATGTATATGTGCGTGTGTGTGGGTGTGTGTGTATATGTATATTGTTTTATGTATAATTTTACAACTTTTAATTGACACCATCATTCCCTTGTAAATTATTGCTGCCTTTATGTTTTTTTCTTTTCTTCTGGTCTATGACCGTAATAAATTTATTCATTCATTCATTCAGTGTCAGGAAACATTTTAAGATCATAACAAATTATATTCATTGCTAAATGTGCTCGCTCAAAAAATGACCTATCTCAGTAGAGCCTAGGAGCAGTTAACACAGTGAATCAGTACACTGAAATCATGAGTTTAGTGAATTCTGATGGGGTTTTGAATGTGACTGAAAGTTGAGTCACACAACCCTCTCAGCATGTTACCATCCTCAGAGAATACTCAGCCTACAATGAGTTGACTTGGGAGAGCAGTGTGATTGCTGCTGGCAAGCGCTGAGTTTGGCACAGTCATTTTAGAGAGTTGGTAGCAGTCATGTTTCTCCCCCTGGCCTAGTAACTTGTCCTCTTGTTTCTAAGTGGAACTTAATGCAGCTAGCTCTGTCTGTTTTCTAATTGGAAGTAGAAAGTTTTTATTCTATTAAGCAGTTGTTGTTGTTTAGTCATTTAGTCGTGTCCGACTCTTTGTGACCCCATGGACCAGAGCATGGACCAGAGACTCCTGTCTTCCACTGCCTCCCACAGTTTGGTCAAACTCATGCTCGTAGCTTCGAGAACACTGTCCAACCATCTTGTCCTCTGGCGTCCCCTTCTCCTTGTGCCCTCAATCTTTCCCAACATCAGGGTCTTTTCCAGGGAGTCTTCTCTTCTCATGAGGTGGCCAAAGTACTGGAGCCTCAGATTCACGATCTGTCCTTCCAGTGAGCACTAAGGGCTGATTTCCTTAAGAATGGATAGGTTTGATCTTCTTGCAGTCCATCCGACTCTCAAGAGTCTCCTCTAGCACCATAATTCAAAAGCATCAATTCTTTGGCGATCAGCCTTTATGGTCCAGCTCTCACTTCCATACATCACTACTGGGAAAACCATAGCTTTAACTATACAGACCTTTGTTGGCAAGGTGATGTCTCTGCTTTTTAAGATTCTGTCTAGGTTTGTCATTGCTTTTCTCCCAAGAAGCAGGCGCCTTTTAATTTCATGAGTGCTGTCACCATCATGGAGCCCAAGAAAGCAATTGCATATATTTTCAATTTAACAAGAGTGGTGCATGTACAGAAGGAAACCTCATGTACACATCCCTTGCATGGGTTAAAATTATATGCTCAAAAGTATACAGTGGGCATGTTTTCTGGCTTTGGATCCTTCTGTTTAGATTCTGTGTAATTCCAGATATGGGACTGGTTACTGTACAAAGCACTTAACATTCATTTGGAGGAAGTGAACATAATTCATTTGCTACTTCCTGTGTTACCGATTGTGAAGAAGAGGATCTGTGATTTAGTTCTCCCCTCCAAAC